CTGGAGCCTTATAAGTACAAATTTGGCTTCTGTATTTCCACAGGTGTTCACATGGGGAAGAGCTGTGGGATTAAGTTCGGGTTTGCTGTAGTCTGTTGGATCCCAAATGAACTCTGGCTCTCCTTCAGTACAAAAGGACTCCTTATACTGTTTTCCAGAGACAAGTCAATGCAAAACCAAGTATGAAATGTGGGCATTGTGCTTTATTGGAATTTTACATCAGCAAAAAAGGGTGTCTGAAATATACAGAGAATTGGGTCCAGAGCCTGAAGGCAGAAAACTTAAATGTGTCTTACTGGTTCTGAGTAACATGCAAAAAAGGGGAAAGGATTGTAGTGGCTGGGAAATGCCAGCTCTTTGCACTTGCACAGAGATATTCAGTATGTAGGAACCCTCTTGAGAGAGCACCACATTGAAATGATGCAGAGTTAAAACATTGGAAACTTAATGTATAGATATCATGTGTTTCTGCTTCTCAGCTTTGTGGTGAGGGAGGGAAGGAGGAGGGGAGAAATCCTGGCTATAAAAGTTGCTCTGTCAGTCAGGTTTTTTGATAAAGACATTCATTGTAAAAAATTACCTAAACTGTATGTAGTCAAGGGCAAATACAAATCAATTACTGACAGCGCAATTAATCTTTTCGAAGAATGATGCTGGCAGAGTGGCTTAGGGGGCACAATTGCACAAGGAAGAGCTTTTCAAACAAATGTAACCGTTCTTGTAATATCAGTGGAAGTTGACTGCAAGTTAATTTCAGAGATCTGCTTTTCTTTTAATGTACTCTAGATTTTTTAGCTAAAGTGGGGTTTTTTCTGCATTTCCCTCCAAACTTTTCAAAAAGGCAAACTAGGTAGTGTGCACAAGAATATAGTCAAGGAGATAAGCAAGGAGACTTCCTTATTATTAGCTAACTTAAATAATCAGCTAAATATACTTTAGCTATGTCCCAGGCTCATTCCAAGGATCATCTAGAGAAGAACAGCAGCAGTTTGTGCCTGTAAATGTTTGTGTTTGTGAAACGTTAGCATGATCTGAAGAACTGTAAAAGAGGAAAAAAACCCCACCTTTGCAGTTTATCATTATACAAACTTATTCACATGAATTTATTCTCATTTTCGCTTAGGAGCTCCTGCTTCAGTGTCAAAATGATCTTCCATAATCATGCACCTATAGAAAGGGAATGTTGAATAAGATTAACATAAATCTCCGCTGCTTTGGAAGTTTTACCTGGCTGCTTGGTGATTTCACAGCTGTTTCTGCAGTTGATAACAATTTCCATCACTGCTTTCTGCGGAGTTACCACGCTGCTCTGCTGCAGATTCTGCCTTGTCCCTGTTTGAGTTATGAATCTTGTTTTTAAAAATCTGATAACAGACATGAAGAGCAGTAAATAGAAAGGACTTACACTCATTACATTGAGTTCTTGGACTCAGTTTGCCCTTTTTTTGGAGATGAGTTTTCAGGATTATATTACTTAGGTTTTTGTTACAGCAGAAGAGATTTAAAAGTGGTTTTTAGTGGGAAGAGTGTTGTCAGTGTCAGTTCACAGCTAGCAAAGGCAAGGCACAGGGAAATGATTTGCTGAAAGAAACTGGAGACATAGAGGAGACAAAAACTCAAGCATTCTGAGTTGTGATTCAAATAGGTGAAGTGAGAAATAGAAATTAAGTTAAACGAGATTTTTAACTACAGAAATAAATGTGCATTACCTTTTCCTGCATAGCTTTCTGGGGGACTTGCCTGGGTTGTGACACTCATCATCGAGACGTCACATCATCAAAGGAAAATGTTACACAGGGCCAGAAATGGGTGGCTGCTGCCAAGAAAAGAGGCAGAAACCACTAGGAGAGCCAGAGGGAGAACATCTGCTTCAGTTGGGTTAGGAGCAGGGTCAGCGTACAGCAGGAGCTTTTCTATGCTGGAGTTTTGTTCTTAAGAAGCTGATAAATATCCAACAACTTTTCTTGTAGGAAGCTTCTTTGCTAGACTGTTGTCACCTTCAGTTCATCATTCAGCAACGTCTGACACTTCAAAGCCTGGAGCATGACTCTGCCTTGAATTGACACACGAGACATCCAAAGCTGTCTTCCTCTGCTTCCTGAGCCAAGGGATTTGTTACAATGGATTCCTCATGGACCTGGTAGGTGTGCATGCTGACGAATTCCGTGTCTTTTTGGTAAATCCCAACTTACACTATTAGTGGGTAAAATGTTTCTCTCCCCTTTATCCAGTGTTAGCCGCAGATTGCCACAGAATCACATTCTTCCTCCAAGCCAAAGTAGCTCTTTAAGGAAGTTCTGCTGGTATGATTAGTGAGAGGATGCTGGTGTTGCCTGGTATCTTTGCCTGAATTTCTTACCCTGAAACTTGAACTAAGTCACCTGTTAGCGTAAGTCAGGAGTGACTTTGCTGGCAATGAAGATCTGGTGCCCTATTTTCTGGGGCTGAATACCTTTACTCACACTTCAAATAGGATTTGTTGTTTATTTAACTTATAGTATTTCAATAGAGATTTGTTTATTTGTCTTATATGAATGCCTGTCTGCTTACATCCTATTGCAGGCAAGAACTGTGCACCTCAGAAGTCAGCAGATATTTTTCCATTGACTTAATTTTGGCAGTTTAGGTGATTTTTAAAAAAACTCATGTTAGCTTTGACTGTATAAATATATATTATTTCTTCATAAATCTCTGTACAAGACATCTAAGAGATTTAATGCTCATTGGGGAAGTGTTTGAAGCAGAGGGACAAGGAACTCTAGAGACAGAAGTAAATATACTTTGAATGTTAAAGTTTTTTCAGAATAATCGTGTTTATTATGAGCCCAATCTAAAGCCTTTTCAAGTTATTGGGAAGTTTTCTTCTTTCTATGACTGTTAGAGTATTTGGACTTTTGAACAGTTACTATGGTGTTTTTGGAACTAAGAGACCTTTTATATGGAAAGTGGTTATTTTTTTTCCTCCCTCAAATTTAATAATAAAATATTGACCAAATTGAATTTGGCTAATGGTAAGATCAAAAAAAAGTGGCATTTGAGGACCACATTCTCCCATTATGCTGAACTTCTGTAACATTTTATGGATAAGTAATGCAGCAACATAATAGCACCAGCCTGAGTCTCATGGCCATGCAAGTCATTACTGAAAATTCAGAATCCACATCCATGTGGGGACAGATCGATGGTGCTCTAGAGCAAACCCGTGGCTTTCCTGGGATCTTTCAACTGATGTAAAAGGTGCTTAATCACACGTTGTGATTCAGAGGACAAAGCAGCAGAACCTAGGAGAACCTAGGGTATCTAAGATGTCAGCAGTTTGCTTGCCTGCCCTTGGAGATACCAAATACCTTCACAGAAACACTCAGAATCAGAGAACGGTTGTGGTTGGAAGAGACCTCTGGAGGTCACCTGGTCCACCCCCCATCCCACTCAAGCAGAGTCACCTACAGAATTCTGCCCTGGACTGTGCAGATGGCTTTTGAGTATCTCCAACGATGGAGACTCCAAAACCTCCCTGGGCAACCTGTCCCAGTGCTCAGTCACCCTCACTTGAGAAACATTTCCTGATGTTCAGATAAAACCTCCTGTGTTTCAGTTTGTGCCCATTGCCTCTTCTGTTGTCACTGTGTGTGCTCAGTGTGCGTGCAGTTGTGTTGGGGAGGGAAGGGCTACTCTGTCTTGTGGCTTCTCAACGCCTTGCAGGACTGAGCCCTGAAGGTAGCTGTGTACAGCAAGATGCAATATTGAGCTGAACACTCTTCCTTAGAGCAGGAGAGCAAAAGCTTTGTCAAACCAGATCTGAACTTTCCTTCTCTCATTAAGGTTCAAGGAAACTTGGATACAAACTCTTTGACTAGATACAGAGTATAGCCTGTTTGTGGGTGTGTTTAAAAATAGCGAAATCCTCTTTCTTGCATAATACACAGTCCGTTACATGAGGTACTGAGATACAAACCCAAGGGCTCTTCACAATGGACGAAAATATATCTTAGCAACAAGGGTGGAGTGGTGGGAAAGGAAAAGGAGAATACAAGTATCTGGCAATTAACTTCCTAGTCACAGATGTGAAGGTGATAAAAGTGATAAAAGCATTACTGCATTGCCAGCGCTCTTCCTTGTTCTCTGAGCTGCATACCATGCTGCTTATAGGAGCAAAAGCTACACAGCCTGTACTGGAGAGTGGTGGAGGAGTCCTGTGAGCTACTCCCAGCAGGAAAACCCAGTGGTTCCCCAGTGTCCCTGTCTGTTGTATGTGGTGGGATTTCATGGACTTCCATCACTTTTGCATAAAGCCAATTTAAATGGCAAGCTGACATTGGACTGATGTTGCTGTAACAGTAGATTCACCAACTTTCAGTTGGAATTTGCTGAGTGTTAGGAACTGTCTTCATCCCCATTTCCCTCACATCCGTACCTAGTCATGACCATTTGAATTTTTTTGCTAAGTAATACTTGCCTTGGGGTTTGTTGTCCAGTCCTGTTTTTTGCTGGGCCAGTTCTTGCCCATGTTACTATGATGTGCATTGGAGCAACTCTGGGTAATATGTGTGGATGGGTGTATATATAAAAATACTGTGAAAAAGTGTGTGAGCAACCGTAGAGTTTTTAACCAAAGCAGCCTATGAGCTTCACCTCTTCATCAGAAGATGTAATGCCACTGAAATCTAAATTGCATCCAGAAATACTCACTTTAGGATATAACTTAAAGCAGGATTTGGCCCACAACACTTTAAGGTTGGTGTCAGTCTTGGTCTATGACTCTGTCCTTTCTAGCACTTCTGCACATGCTGATGACTACCGTAATGATTGATTCAGATCCACCACAATCAGCAGTGTTGCAATTAAGCTTGTGCATAAATCCTTGCGCAGTCAGAGTGACTGCTTGTTTGCGATCCCAAGCAGGATGCTTCTGTGTCACCCATTTGTCACATAATGGTAACACTTCTTAGCTGAACTCATGCTCTTCTCTCCACAGTGCTGTGCCTGTTCAGCAGACCCTGCTCTAGCCTGAGAACTGACTAACTCAAGACAATCAAGATGACAAACGAACCTATTAAAGAGATCCTGGGCGCTTCAAAGCATCCTGATTCTGTAACCACGGAGAAGAGTAATAACAATGACTGTGTGATAACCACCATCCCTCTTGTCAGTGAATGCCAGCTGACTGCAGCAACTGGGGGAGCAGAGCTCTCCTGCTACCGCTGTACCATTCCCTTTGGTGTGGTTATCCTCATCGCTGGCATCGTGGTTACTGCTGTGGCATACAGCTTCAATTCCCATGGATCAATCATCTCGGTGTTTGGATTAGTCCTCTTGTCATCAGGACTCCTTTTGCTGGCTTCTAGCGCAGTGTGCTGGAAGATCAGGCAGGAAAAGAAGAAAGCAAAGAGGCGGGAGAGCCAAACAGCGCTCGTGGCAAATCATCGAACCTTGTTTGGGTAAAGACAACCCAGACAAGGCTGGACAGAAGACAGACCCTTTGTAAGTCAACTTGACTATTTATGAATAGGAGAGATTGCAGGTTTTAATTTAACTTTGGAAATGAACTGAAATGAAAAAGGAATGGATTAAGAAAGACTCTTAAAAACTCTGCAAGTGCTCTTAATATTTTTCTTACTGCAGACTTGGTAGTGATTCTTTCCAAGACGGAGGAAAAAACACTTTTCCTTAACAGAAAACAGTGTCGTCATAACTGCAATCACCACAACTGCGTTCTCCAACATGCTGATCATGTTGGAAAGGGAATCTGTGAGGACTAAGAAAATAATTTTAACTGACTTGAAGTGCCAGAGATCTCCTTAACATACACACTGTGACATTTGACCAAGGGAGAAGTCATAGCATTTGAAGTGACTACAAGCTTATGGCCAGCTTGTCTGTGATTTAAATTGTAGCTCAAAAAACCCCAACCCCCCCAAAAAAGCAATAATAACCAAACAAACTGCAGATTGCTCAATAAGCTGATTGTTGTATTTTATGTAACTTCCCCCCCAGTATCTGTGGTACTTTCCTCCTTTTTTAAACCAACTAATGTTAATTTTGTTTTACTATTGAATAGAAATAGATAGAAATGTGTAATTATATTGTCTAACCTAGATAACGAGGTATGATTATATCTTAAAACATCAGACTTTTTTGTAAATTAAAGTGGTCAGGTTTAGCACTTTTTATTATTTTGCTATAAAATTAAAAAGTACATTTCATTAAAATAATTTTCCGTGCTGCTAGACCTTTAGGAAATCTTTTTTTATTGTTATCAAGATAGCTCATAGCTTCAACTTTGGCTGCTTTACGATTCTTTTTTGTAGAAAAACATCTCTGACAATTACTGTCAACATATGTACTGCTGGTCTCTTCCAAAAATCTCTGTAGACTATGGATTTTGGTTAGAGAGCCCATTCCTCTTGCAGCAGTAATGGTCAATTCTGCAGACACTTACTGGCATAGTCGCTTTTAGACACAACTATTAATGATTTCTTGTGGAAGCCAAGTCATCTGTGCAGTATTTGCTGAATGAGCTTTGGGGTTACAAATCTTTCTGAAAAGCAGGTCTCAGGTGCCCCTGTGAGATGTTTGATTCTGTAGCTCTTGTGTTCCAGAGGTGTTCCAGCTTTTCTCAGGTATTGAATAACTGAGGGCTGGTCCCAGACTGAAGCAAACCAGAACATTTCTTCATCTGTATCATGAAGGACAAGTAGTGCTGAGCCAGGTCACAGACTGTACCCCAGGGTGTATGAGTGTGTCAGAAGGCAGAGGGGCTGCATGAAGTCTGCTCCCACTACCCTCCACTTCCTCTTTTATTTATTTTCCTTCTTTCTTTCTCCAGACTTCAAAGGGCTGGATGGGATTTTTGCTTTCCACTGCTACAGGGAGCAAGGCCTGGGCTAGTGTGCTTCTCTTTGCCCTCCAGAGCCTCTGGCATCCCTGACGCTGTGGTGATGCGGCAGAGCATACCTGCCAAACAGGTGCCGCAGGGGGTTGCCTTCTGCGGGTCATCCCAGAGCCGTATGCTTCTGCTGAACTCAGCCAGGCATTCTGGCTTAGGTGCCGCTTTTTCCTCTGCCCTGCATGGTTTAAGCTTGTTACATCCATAACTTATCCCCGGATTTGCAAAGTGCACTTCGTGTTTTAAATAGAGCAAGCTGTATGTATGGGAGGGGATGTTTGGAGCCAGTATTTGCGTTGCCACACTCCGTGGTTACCAGACGCTATAATAAAATCACTTGCATCAGAGGAAAGCTGACAACACATTTTAGCACTTCCATAGCCCTACTTAATCACGGCAGGAAGCTTTCCTGCTGCTAGGAGAACATGTTGCGTCACCAGAACATCTGACACCGGTGTCTAATGTCAATCACTTTGCTTAAGGTCATTAAAAATATTAGGGTGTCCCCTTACGATGTACAGGTTTTGCATGAGTGACAATTCATGGGAAATGCATAGCATGATAAATAATGGAACAGGTGGACTAAAGTGGTGTCTTTCCTGTTTAAAATGAGAAAAGTGATTGACATTAGCAAAGCTGGATAAGCTAAATAGGGCTGTTTATTTGCCCCCCCCCCCCCCGGGAACACAATAGTTTTTCTGACTCCTTCTTCCCCCTCCCCATTTCTTTTTCCTCAGTGGAATTTTGCAGGCTGCCAACGAGGGAATTGCAGGGGCTGTAGAGATGCAGTGATTTCCACTACACGCGCGTAGCAGCTCAGCCCCATGTTTCCCAAGCTGAGCGCAGAGCAGAAGGCCTCTAGCCCTCTTCAGAAGACTTTCCTGTACATGTGTCCTCCTTCTGCCATTGCTGTGAGACAGGCAAACTTGCATGCGGCGCGTGGAAGGAAAGTAGAGGTGCAAGGTGAGGCTCTCCTCCAAGTCAAAAGAAAAGACCAAACTCAGTGGAACGGAGGCGATGGGTTTTTGGAAGCAGTTTTTTCAGGAAGGGTAAATAAGAGTGAGTAAGAGTCACTCTGCAACTGCAACTACTAGAGGAGATTTCATTTCCCTTGTCTCTGCTCTCTTTTGTATACATGGACACAGCAGAGTGCCTGCATCACCCTCTCTCTCTGCCTTGCTAATTGTGGGGCATCCAGGCATTAAGCAGGATGTGAGCAGTGACAGACAGCATTGCAATGACCCTAGGCATGATCCCCTAGCACAGCAAAGCTTTGGCTACAACATGGTATCCCTTAATGCCAGCTGACATGTTGAGAGGCCTCTAGGTAATACAGGGCTGCCATAGCACACACTGCTGAGCTCAGTAGCATCAGCTGCATCCTAGTGAGACATGGTACGTGCATAAGCATCTTTGTATCAAGCAGCGAGTGAAAATCTGTGCAGGAATTCACTCTGTTTGTCCTTTATTCAGAGAAGCAAAATAGTAACTTGAAGGGAAAGAATCCCAGCATCTGGTCTTGGTGTCCTGCAGGAGCAAGGCAGAGGTGGTGAACAGTTTAGTCAGAGACCTCATGCTGTTGAAGATATTTTCACATGACCTTAGAAACTGGCACAGACTTCTCCACCATGATTTGTGGGCATTGATTTTGGGACAGTCTGAAGTAGTAGTAGCATCTTTTCTGAATGACCAATGATGACCTCAACACACATCTCACAGTCTGTGTTTTTTCTTCCTGCAAATCTACATATCACAGATATTTTCATTATTATCCTCTCTCCCCTGCACCCCTTGTCCTGGTCCCAACACTGGGACAATACTTTCCTTTTAGCCCTTAAAAAACAATTCTTGTGGTAGAGGTGCTACGTGAGTGCAGCACGGCAGGCTTAGCACCTTCATTTTTTCAGAAACTGGTGATATTGTTAGATCTGAAATGTTTATTACAAGACCACTTTTACAAGGGTCAACCCCCTCAACCCAGTCAGCTACAAACAGCAAAATTTCTGCTTTTGAATGCCGTGACCTGATCTGGATTGATTTGGATCTTCACGCCTGGATGCTGGGTCATGTAATCCACCAAGTCTGCGATACAAAGCCATCTGGAACCCCACAGTTGCTGTGTGGTGTTTCTCGTGGGAACCTGAGAGGCAAAAGTCAGCCCGGAGGATGCAACCCTGTGGAGATCACAATGACTTTACAGCTCAGAAACACCTTCCCTTCTGGTGTGAAAAGGCTTTGAATGCGACAAATGGTATTTCAGTTCTGGGTGAGGTTGGGTGGGAGCTGATGCAAATTTTATTGTCACAATTGCTTGTCTCTCCCTTCCTGAAAGCTCTGGCAGCATTGCGCAAGCAGAATTGCCCTCACAAGGATAGAAAATTATCTAATAGGGGAATTGCGTTGGTGCACTGGGCAAATGTTATGGGGATCTTAAATAATAATTTGAAAACCTAAGCACAGGAAATTGTGTCTGTAACTACACCCTGTATTGCTATTGTACACAAAGCCAGTTATAGCTTGGGACAGTATTTTAAAATAATAATCAGTTTAGTATGACAATGCTTAGTATTTTTTCAAGTCAAAACGCCCAATTTACGATTCCCCAGTCACATAGCATGCCATGTTCTGTACGTGACTGTGGTTCTAATGCCATAATTTGCCAGGTTGAAAAAAATATTAAAAAGAGCGAGGGAAAGGTTGATTTCGTGGACTTGTGTCAAGAATAATTTTCTCTGCCTTGGATGCTTGGGAGAGCTCCTGTTACCAGACGACGAATGTACAATATTACTGCAGCTCTACAGAACAGGAACCATGCTCAGAGTATGGAACGAAGAGAGGCCTGCACGTCTCATCAGGATCCTGAAGGCTCAGGCCAGGAACAAGCCCTGTGGAATATCCCCTATTCTTGCCTCAGCTTTCCTTATCCAGAGTCCAAGTCCAGGTCTACCGCTCCTTTAATATCTGAGATGGAGGTTGTCACATATCTGTTAGCAGGTTTCACCTAATTTGTTTTTACAATGGGCTCCAAAATAAGAAGAACAATATTGGCAGGCATCATTTTGCATATGTATTCCCAGTACCTCTGATGCCTTTAGACTGTAGGCTGTTTCAGCAATGACAGTATAAATATTTGTCAAAAGGGCTTTTATAGGTAACAGTACATTAGCAAATAAAAAATTGCACTGTATGATGTGAAAACTGATATAAATCCTGCCAAAACTCTATGAACATACTAAATCTTATTGGCTAAAATGTATAGAAGAACAATGGTCTTAAACTGCAGAATCAACTTGAATTTTTGGCTTTTATTCAGGTTGTTGATGTCACTATTAACATGACAGAGGACCTAATCCTTCCTCTTGTGAGCAGCCAGTTGGAATCCTGTTGTCCTAACTCTTGCATCCAAAAATTTGCATTTGTGGCAAACATGGCATTTTTGAAAAATACTTTTTTTGATTGCTTTCACTTTTTAACTCTTCTGTGCCTTCTAGACTAAGAGAAAACAAAGTATTAAACTTTAAAAACAGAGAGGAAAGGAGGAAAGAAAGAGAAGAACACACAGCAGCAATTGTTAGACACTGCATAAAGTCATGGAGGTGTAGAGCTTTACACAAGCGCCTTGAAAGACAGAGACTGTTAAAAATATGTCAGTCTTGTTTCTGATACATCCTTGGCTGTATCCTCAGTTTCAGACTTATAAAATGCCTGAAGTCCCCAGGTCAGCATCAGTCTTAGATCTCACTTCATATTTCTTCTTTTCTGTTTCCCAGGAACCAGTTAGCTCAGCAAAAGGCAGGAGTTTAATTTCCTACCTGGTTTTGCAATCTGACTGAAATCAAATAGCCATTTGGGATTTGCAGAGGCAGTGCTCCCATGGTTTTGTAAGTTAAAAGGCGTTCAGCCGCAGCCTGCTCTTGAGGAGGTAGGCATTATATGGAGATAAAGATTTCTGTACTGCAGCAAGAGATGTCAGTGAATAATCTGTTTAAAAAAAGGAAAGGTAAA